TCCGAGGTGGGTGAAATGAGGACCCAGACTGTGGGGGGCGATATGCTGACTCTGTAAACCGCTTAGAGAGGGCTGAAAGCCCTATGAAGCGGTATATAAGTCTAACTGCTGTTTGCTAACTGCTAAAGCGAGGACCTGTTTTCAGTTGCTTCTATGTATTGGTGACCGTAAGCTTTTAATATTCCTGAATATTTTACATAGGAATATCAGTGGAAGCCTCTGCAATAATAAGTGGGTCCCGAATTTCCTCTTTGCTTTCAGCTTCTTTACAGTGTTGCCTTGTGGCATGGAGTTCAAGCAGCATTGTACAGGGCTATCAAAGCATAGAGAGTTAACTGCAATAGTAACACAGCTTGATAAATATAAAGAGATCTAGGGATAACTCTTACTATGATTTCTTTAGCTTTGAAAGAGGAGTATTGTTAATGAAGGCTTGCGAGAACATCTATGAATGGGATCCTTTATAGTTCAAATAAATTATATATTTGCGTTACTATCTGATTTCTGTTCCAGCAGCAGGAATTGGCTGCAAATGTTTAGATAGTTGTTCCGGTGATGTGTGAATCCCAGCGCATGTTTGCAAAAGCCTGGAATTCCTGAGATTTTTTTTGCTCGTTTAATACAGTCTTTTGAATTCTGGCCTCTTTGAGTTCTGGTCTTAACAATTTGAAGCTGCTTGCATAATAATCCATGAGCAAGTTTTAATGTAATCCTCAGGTTGGCCAACTGGGAGCCTTTTCAAAGGATAGTTTCTGGTTTTGTAGGGCAGGTGGGATTTTCCTGATTTTGCAGTCGTGGCGGACGGTAGCTTGTTCTTATGGTGATCTGTGATTGATTTGGTTTGGTGGTTAAAGTGAGACTCTATAAAATAACTGGGGAGAAACGCAAATGAGCACAGTGGCTTGAGCCACTGATTTTCCAAAAATATTGGGAGAAATCTTAAGTTAAGCTTATGGCTTAACAGTACACAGTTGGGAGTCCATAACTGTGAAAATTGCGAGAACCTGTCTATGCAGCATCTTAATTCCATAGTTACTTCAGTTCAAGCAAAGGTGGGCTCCTACCAGTTCGCACCAGTTCGGTAGAACCGGTTCGTCGAATCTACCGAACCGGTTAGAAGAGGTTCCACCAGAAAGCAGGCCACACCTACAGAAGAGGTTCCCAAAATTTTTTGAAACCCATCACTGACACACACACACACACACACACACACACACACACNAGAGGGAATGCGGGGGGGGGGGAGGAGTGGGGGGGAAAGAAATGTACTTTCAGACTACCAAGATTCTGTTAATGTAACTTACAAAAAATAGAATTAGTTCACCTAGAAGTACTTCCGGCCTGGAGTATTTTGCAAGACTGACAGATACCCATACACAAACACAATAACTTTTGTGGCGATTTTCAGACTGGTGACATATTTTCAGGCACTAAAAGTCATATGGTATCAGTGAAAAAATGTGACATGGTAGCATCTTATAGCAAAAGCCAGGCTGAGGCTTGGAAGCATTTAATTATTGAGATGCTAATCAAAAACCCAGGTCCCCAATCCAGAGCCTTACCTTCCGGCCAGGGCTTGGGTGGTCCACCAGGGGGCTGACCAGGCATTCCTGGAGGAACTCCTGAGGGTCCAGGAGGGGGCATATTAGGCCCTCCCATACCTGTGAAGACATGGGAGAGCATAGGGACACCATTAAGCTTTCTACTCCTCTGGTCTAAGCAAAGGAGAATCTCACCCCAGATGGGTCTCAAAAAGACTTCAGTGTAACTCACCATGAGGTCTGTTGTAGTTCGGAGGTGTTGGGCCAGGTGCAGGCCCTGGTCCTTGCACTGGTCCTGTTCCAGATACAGAAGGTGGAGGTAGAGTTGGCATTTGCTGCTGCATTCCAGGCATTGGCCTTTTCCCCTGCACAGCCATGTGAAGATGGTCGGGCAGTGGCTGCCCTCTGGCAAGCATCTTGTAGGCCATGATCTGAGCCCTCAATTGATGCAGCTGATTCTGATTAAAAGGAGTCGGGCCTCGATTCTGCTGCCCCAATGCTTGGGGGTCAGTACCATCTAATGGGACTCCACCAGGGCCAGATGGCATCTGGGGGCCAGAAGAAGGGCCATTAGCTGGAACTGGACTTGAGGCATGCTCGGAACCACCGAGTGGAGAAGGGTAACCTGAAAAAGGGCAAGAAAAAAAGAGAAAAGAAATGAAAATGGGAGAGAGAGAAAGAAAACTTAATTTGTTTTGTACTTTCCACAATCAAGGATGAAGCAGTTTTATTTGGAGCACCTGCTTGCATTTTAGTAGACAAGGGTTGGTAGAAGCTACCAGAATGGTATATTTTTGGTTTCTTTTTTGTAAAATAAATGACGACATGGGGTATATACCCGTGACCCGTCAAAACCGCGGTAGACAAAAGCGCTCGACGAAAGTGCGTACCTGACGTCATCAGCAGCGCGATGAAAAAAATTAAAAATAAATTAAATTAAAATTAAAATAAAATTAAAGCAAGCCGATTCACATAAACTTAAGGGTTAGGTTTAGGGTTAGCGTTAGGTTAAGGGTTACGTTAAGCGTTAGGTTTAGCGTTAGGTTAAGGGTTAC